CATCCCCTTCCTGAGGCGGTCACAGTGACCGTCTTTATGAAAGGCCTCCGCAATGCCGAACTCAATTCCAAGTCGGCACAACTTGGTTGGAATGCACACTCCAACTGCTCGTCGAGCGGGCCTGTGCCCATGGATCTCAGTTATGCTGAGGACGAGGGAGCAGATCTCCGAGCTGCCGTGCAGCACACAAACACACGACGGTGTTTTGTCTGTAAAAACACCTGTCACCTTCAGAACGGTTGCCCCTGCGCAAGGCTCGTCAGCGTTCCTCGAACCATCGCCCCAATGCCTTCCAGTCTGGCTCGTCGCGGGGAAACGACACCACCCATTAGGGGCGGGGCGACCTACTGGGGAAGAACTGAGTTCTGTTGAGCCTCAGGGAGGCATAGGTCAAGCGCCCAGCCTCGATAGGCTCCGTGCTCATAAACACGGAACGTGTATGCAAGCCGGGCTTGCTGGTCGTAAAAACGACCGTGAAGGTCTTAGAAGCCATGGAAGATCCTCACCGATTCCGGGGTGTCGCGCAATTATGCTTGACGCTCCAAGTATGACCTCATCCTAGGAATGGCATGTTTGGAACATTATGAGCCATGGATTTATTGGAGGTCAAAGACACTTGGGCGCTATGCGCACTTCTCCTGGTGGAGCTTTGGTGAGTCATGAACCCACCTTTGCTAGGAGTCAAAAGCGCTATTGGCGAGAGCACTGGACTGAGACGGTCAGCGTGCTGGACATTGGAATGTTTGAGTTGCCCACGCTCGCGGGCTGATCGTGGAGTGGCACGTAACCCACTGAGCGCTGCTAAAGTTTCGGAGCAGTCGCTGCATGTCATGCGTGGCATGGTCGGCCAGGGACCGTGATGCACGTGAAGTGGTTCGTGAACTACTGAGCGCTGCTCTAGTGTCGAAGTAGTCGCTGCATATCATGCGTGACATGGTCGACCAGAGACCGAGGCATCGAGGGCGAGGACCCGTGATGCACGTGAAGTGGTACGTGAACCACTGAGCGCTGCTCCAGTATCAAAGCAGTCGCTGCATGTCATGCGTGACATATTCGGCCAAGGGCTGAGGTATCGAGGGCGAGGTCCTCGTCATGCACGTAAAGTGGCACGTAAACCACTAAGCACTGCTCTCGTTGCGAAGCAGTCGCTGCATGCCATTGATGGTGTGGTCGGACAGAGTCCGAGGAATCTTTGGCACGGCTCTTCAGATGCACTTGGAGTGGCACGTTATCCACTGAAAGAAGACTGCGGGGTTAGCAGCTCTTTGTCGGATGTTGTAGATAGCATCGAAGCTCCAAAGGAGCGGACAGTGAAAGTGATCACCCCGGTCGCACCGAGACATAGAACCTCTGTACAGAGGCGACGGCGACGCCGTATGCTGGCTGCAAG